AGGAATGTTAGTGACCCTGGAAAGAAGATGTAGAGGTTTAAGTTAAGCAGTTTCAAAGCTAAGTATCAAACCCCACTAAACATAGGTGTTGCATTTCCTCTGAACCCTCCCTTCCCACCCTCATCCCCCCTTATACCCACACATACTGCTAAGCACAGGACCCACGTGCTGCATGACAAAGAAGCAGGTCCAAGGAGAACTACTTGCAACTCTCTCTACCATCTGCTCTACCTCTTTCAGTAATGGGATTGCTGAAGGACTGGGCTGTCTGTGTGCATAATGTAGAATGATCCTCTCCTCCCAAGAGGGAGTCCCAAGAGGTAGACAACAAAAATTAAGTAGAAAGAAATGTAAATAGACAAGGCAGCCTTTAAAAACCAAACTGCTCTCCTGATACCTTTCATCCATGTGAAACAGCTTTCAACATATTTATGGTAAGTATTTACACATAGTTATGGTAGGTATTTACATCAATTGCTTATTAATGAGACCCATCACCTAGCTAGATTTTTGAGAGTAGACTATTCCATTTGTGTTGCACAGTTTAAGAGGATAAAGGAGAAGAAAGTCATCTTCTTGTTCCTAGCATTCAGCTGGACAGTAAGCAATTTAAAGAAAAGGAAACAAGTGTGATGAATAGCAGACACCCACCAGTAGTTTTATCAGAAAGACATTAGCGAAGAAAGGACACACTGCATCTGTAGACTGGCACAGGTAATTACAGTCTACGATGTCTTTGGCAAGAACTAAGATGAAGCCTGAGCTATAACTTTACGTAGTCAACCCCAATTGTGAGTTCCTAAACAGCTGTTACCTGCAGAAAAGCAGCCCAACAGCTAAGGCCAGGTGCTAGGAGATTACCTTACCTGGTTCGTAGGTTTTAAGAGGCTTATGTGTCAGGCTGTTGATGATATTTGTCACTGCAATGTTGGCGTGGAGCCCAGCATGGTAGGCCATCTTTGGTTCCTTCAGATCTGCACAGTCCCCAATGGCATAGATGTTCTCATAGCCTTCTAGCTGGAGGTGCTTGTTAACTTTCAAAGCACTGTTACTTGCCATTTTGTCCCCTGTTTTGCGAAACAGTAAGTTTTCAGAAGGAGCTTTGTATTGCTTACTGTGGCCTGGGACCCCAAAATGCTGATGATGCTATCAAATATGTCATCGACACAAAGTAAGGAGTTGTTTTTTCACTCTCTTCTCTACAGGTTAGGGAAGAGATGCTTTTTACCCTGCTGCAGTTAATTACTGCAGTCTCATGCAAGGAATCATCCTTAAGAAACATTAAGAGCTAGTGTACGCAGCCTGAGAAAGACTACAATGGTAATATGCTCCGTAGTTGTAGTGCCATAACTGAAATGGGCTGCAAGAGGTCTTGGACTGAAGATGTATCACCAGATAACTAATCGGCTGAACACCCTGTGTCACTGACAGTTCAGCAAGAACACTGAATGTGCTGAGCCTGTTCTTGCTCAGAACTCAGCACGCTTATATGTAGGATGAAATCCTGGCCTTAACAGCAGGAGTTACCATCAACTTGTAGGTGTCATCTGCCTCATGCTGTACTAGGACACTAAGGTTCCTTGGAGTTAGTAGCAGAAGGAACTGGAGAAGACTGTTGGCCACACGATCTATGTATGGTCTGTACGTTTCCAAAGGTCACAATTCACAGTTACGTATTTAATGTGATGTTAGAGTATTTGCTGTATCATGGAATAACCACTGTGGGTTGTATAAGGTTGATTCCTAACCTCACAGTACTCAAGTACAAGACATTGAAGAACTGTATTGCTTCTCCCCACCCAGTGACTTTTTCACTTACCAAATGCAGCAGTGTATGCTGAGGAGTTAACCTTTATCCCCGTGCACAGGATCACCATGTCAGCAACCACCTCAGTGCCTTTTTCTGTCCTCACTACCATGTCCTTCTGGAACCGGTTTGGTGTGAGGTTTTCCATATTGCTGACCCTTTCACCTGTTGTGACAGAGAGCCCCGGGTGACAAACCTTTACTAGGCTGCTGTGTCCAGCTAGCCCAGGTGTATCTAGACAAACAGGAATTCAAGGGAGCCATGCTTAGTCAAAGAAGTCAGAAAGAAGATGTCAGAAGATGTTTTGGATAAAGGAAGTGCAGCTTACAGAGTTTTAGAGTCTAGATCTTCAGAGGCATCGTTAAGTACATACTTAATAAGAGGCACACTCCTTTTCTGAGGAGGATCTCTTTCACCTCCTGACGGACGCTATCTAGCAGCTCCACATCTGCTAGTGCAGTTTTTGAGTGAATGAGGGTGACCTGTTGGGGACAAAACGGCAAAGATGGGGACACAGGAATGAGGAGGGACTTGTCACATGCTGGTTGGGAGCAGCTACAGCTAGCTTACTTCCACCCCACTGTAATGCCTAAGGAGAGTGAGCCAGTGAAAAGCATCTTCTGTCAAGAATTGCTGGTGACAGTCTATAGGGTGCTCTCAGAAGAGGAGGCAGTGGGGGTGAAGGCTGCCATTACATGGGAACTCCTGATTTGCAGTGATCTCAGATACCTCCAGCAGGACCATCACAGAAGAACAGTCTCAGAAACAAGGATGAAGTTAATTGTAACTAATATGCTACTACCTTTTTGGCTGGGTACTCTGTTTTGATCTCTGCAGCCATCTCGACTCCAGCAGAACCACCTCCCACTACCAAGATGCGATCAGATTTCTCAATCTTGGAATAAAGAAGAAACTCATGTTACAAGAGAACTGTTGCATGCAGGAAGTCAGATACCTTCAGTCACTCTGTGAACAGACCTTTCTGAGCTACAGCGCTGGTCCAACAGCAATAAACCACCTAGTTTGTTAAGAAGAAACAACAGAAAAATGAGAGCCACATGCGCTCTTCCTGTGTACACTGTAACTCTTGAACATTTCAGGTTTCCACTTGTACAGACAGCTGATCTTCCCCAGGGGCACACAGCATGTGCTCCTTCTCCCTGGCCTGTCCCTGCAGGCATCGTGGTCTCTTGTTCTTAGGCACAGATAGCTCCAGATACCCATAGTGGTATCTGGGACAGGGAAGCTAAACAAAGGCAGGTAATGCTGCTTAGGAAATAAGTTAATTCCTCACCTCCTTAACCATGTCTTCGTAGGTCTGGATGGCACTTTCTATGTCAATGACTTTGTTGAACTTCCCAGGGAACGGCCCATCGCTGCCTGTTGCAAGAATGAGGTGGGAGTAGTGAAGCTCCTGGGAGGGCAGAAGGTGGAACAGGATGTTAGACTTCTTAAAAAAAATAAAGAAATAAAAAAATCCTAGAACACAGTTGAACACAGTTATTTAGACTTTAGGAAGAGATGTGGTCCAGGTGACACCAGCTACCTTCCTTAGAGTCTGAGAGAAACACCATTCTTCAGGTGAGCTGAAAGCTTTGAAAAAATTGCCACAAGTTTACAGGAAATAGCCTGGTATTTATGCCAGACACTGAAGCTACCATCACAGCTGGCTGGAGAGACTACTCCCCTTCGCCCTCTTCTGAGCAGAGATGAGATGCTCTGGCTGAAAAAAGTTATCAGAGCTGCTGTACTTGTTTCTTCCTGCAGTTAGATAAGGATCTGAGCACCAGGGTTAATTGTTGAGCTCTAAATCCAGCTCTAAGAATAAAAGCACATCTGAGCACTAGATGAGGTGTGGTAATTAGTGCACACCGCAGCTCTAGGCCACTTAGCTTGGCTAGAAGGGATGCTGGGTACAGGGAAAGATGCTTTCTGTTGCCACGCTCCTCAGGATGACTAAATGCTACAGCATTTCCCCACATTGCCTCTTGGTTTTAGAGGACATGGCTAGGGCCCTGGTTCTCCCTAGAGCAACCTTCCATAGAGGTAGGGCATTGGTTTCATTCCTCTCTACTTGCCAAAGTTACAGGACTAGTATTAAGCATGAGCCCTTGTGTATCTGCCCATAGGCGGCAGAAACCTAGAGTAAAGCAGTTGGTGACTTCACAGAGAGCTTAGGTTGAGTCAGGTATTTCAACCAAGCTGAGGGTTACATCAGAACAGGAACCCTGTTGTGTGTGTGAACTCCGAGCCTGGGACTATTGGATTGGTCAGGGTTTGTGCACTTAGCTGACCCGCACTGTAAGAGATACGGGAGCCTGCCACAGCCGAACTGTAGCATTCTCAGCTCTCGTTCAACTTGAGGGCAAAGGTCTGGTTTGTTTTTCCCAGAGCACGATTCTCTCCTGCATGCACGCACACGCTCCTCTGGAGTGTTACACTCCTCTTCCTGCTCAGAGGCCAAATTTCTGTAGCTGCTCTGTGGTGCTGCTCATCTCATTCTTTCCCTCCAGAGGACTCCAAGCATGAGCAGCAGTCTGAAACCTAAATTCCAAGTAAATTCTCCAACCAGACATCACCAACATAGCCTAGATTTGGAGTACTGCATTCTCACAGCCATAACATAGCTGAAGAAAACCCCTGAGAAGGTTGAGATTCACAGCACACCCTACTGAAGGCTGACTCTGCATTAGCAGATGGTCCCGTGAGGCAGACTCACTGCACGTTGCTGTATCACCCACCTCACCATCACTAAGCAGGATTTGTTGCCTCTCGGGGTCTATGCCAACAACCTCGCCTTGTCGGAAGCTGTCCCCAAAGGTGACAGAGTAGGAGATGAAAGTCTTCTTGGCAAATCCTGTGGTTAAGAGGAGACGACAGGGAAGAGATCTCATTCTGCAGAAGCTAACAAACCCCTCTTCTTCCCTCACGCCATCCTTGCTCAGACAAAAGCTCTGCTGCACTGACCACAGGCTGGGCTTCTGCTGTGCATTATCTGCCTAGCAATGGGCTTCAGGACCTTTGCCTTGGACCTGGTGACAAGAGCAGCTCCTCAGAGGCCAGGTGACACCTCAGCTAGGTTGCTTTGTCTCTGTTCCCTGTACAGCATCTCCTGTACTGGTTTGCCAGTAAGTGCTCCACTGTGGTCCAGGGCACTTCAGGCAAGATGTCAGAGGCTTTTTGTCACATTATCTGCCTCTCAGACCATGCTTTTGAAATCTTTTTTTTCCACTTGTTCTCATCTTTGAACATGAGATTTTCCCTCTAAATCATCAGTGACTAGAGTAATGGGGTTAGCCCAGTCTCCCAAGTGAGATCCCAAACAAGCCTGAGCAGCTCACCAACAGAATTTTATCATCCAAGGCCTCACTGCTGAACTCCTTGACATTTCAAGTACCAGATACAAAAGCATTCAGTCATCCCTTTCAGCTGCTGCGGGGTTTAGCTTAGTCACCTTCTAAACTTTTTGCTCAGTCTTCCTAGCAGACAACATGCAATTGGCCTAACATGACTGGTCTGTGGGTCCTCGCAGAGCCAAGTATCTGTTTTCCAGGTAGAAAATGTCAGGGCCTGCATCATCACTGGGGGCAGAGGAGGAACCCTGTTCCCCTACTCCCTGAGAACCTCCGAGCTGTTGTGGTCACTGGTGGGGGATAGGAGAGCTGACCCGCCGGGACCCACGCAGGAAGAAGGCTGTGAAAATCAACTGAGCCCTTACCGCTCTCCACGGCGGCTCGGAGGGCAGCGACGTTGTGATGGAAAGCGTCTTTCACGTCCACCAGCACGAAGGGGATGGCCCAGGACTTCAGCAAGCTGGCGGCCGCCGTGCCTCCAAAGCCACCCCCGACCACCACCACCCGCACGGAGTCATCCACGGACACGCGGGCTCCCATCGTTCGGCACTGCCCGGCCGCCCCGCCCGCTCCCTGCCCAGCGCCCGGGCCGGGAAGCCGAAAGCCCGGGGCTGGCCCGATCGGGGGCGGGGAAGGGAGCGGCCCAGCGCCCTCCCACTCGCTCCCCGCCTCTCCCCGCGGCGGGGGGGGGTCCGCCTGGCCAGGCCCCCGCGGCGGGTGGAGTTACGCTTGCCAAGCTGTTCAGCCGTAAAGCTGCAGGGAGGAGTTGAGTTTCTCAAGGTCTGAGCCCAATCCGCAGACTTTGGCCTTCCTGGGGAGGCAGGGCAGCGGGGCAATGCTCCCTGCTGGGGCGCGGCGTCTACCCAGGTCAGCAACAGAGTCCCAAGCACAGAATATTTCCCCTTTTACCATCCTTACGTCCCTCCACATACATCCTCAACGTGAGAGGAGACCTTAAGTATCTTGTGAACGAAGAGCTGTGTTTTAAAAGTGATAAACACCCAAAGACCAGGGGAACTGCCCTGGCTGAGCCTGCTGGCTTGGGTGCTGCAGCTGCAGCCTGGCAGCAGGTAAGGATGCTGTGCGAGGCAAGGGGCTCTGCTATTGCTGAGATTGTGCAGTCAGTCCTGCCAAAACCCAGCATTAAAAACTCATGAGCTCATCTTTAAAACAAACAAACAACAAACAAAAAAGGAGATGGTTTCAGAAAGTTCCTGAACATCGGGCTTTGTCTGTCCACCTTGGCTTGTCCTTTGTCAGCTATGAATGTTGCTTAAACCCACAACTGGTTTAATGCCCCCTTTTGGGAGGCAGCTGGGAGCTGGCAGCAGAGGGGTGCCCTGCTCCTGCCCTTACTGCGAAAATTCACATTTCTCAGCCCTTGGCGGCTGTGGCTTGTGAGAGGCTCATTAGGAAACCCACAAAGTGGCTGAGACTGCAGCCTGGGTGAGGAATGCAGCCAGAGGATGCTCACTCCCTTCACCAAGTGAAATGGCTCCCTTGGAGAAAGAAATTAAGATGTAGCTTGCTCCTACTGGCAGCAGGAAAAGGAGCCCAGAGAGGGCTGTGTTAGAGGGACAGAGGGAATATGAGCCCAGCATCACTGGTGGAGATGGTGGGATGTAAGGAGGAGCAGGAAAGGACTGAGAGGATAGCAAAGGCCTCTGCAGAAAGGGAGCAGGTAGCAAAGATGAAGGTTTACAGTAAAAAGGACATCCAGATCATGCTCTTCTGCAGCACAGAAATTACCCCGAAGACTTTAGGCTCCTGTGGCATTCCAGATAAATATAGCTGCTAGCTGTGTGGATAAATAAAGCTGCTGCACACACTGCAGCGTTGTGAGCTGGCAGAGCTGGCCCCCACGCTCCCCTTCCCATGATGGTTTGAGGGCTCCCTCTGCTCCTCATTCCTCCTTAAGTGAATGCCATCCTGGTGCCAAAGCCCCTTCCCAACAGAGTCCTGAGCAAAACTCCCCCCAGACTCATGAGTGGGAGACAGGTAAAAGAATTCACATCTTGTTTTCCCCAGGAAATGCAGGGCCTGCCCTAAGGGTTGCCACCAGAGGGTGCAGCTGGCTTGGCTACGGGTGTCCAAGTCCAGCATGTGGCACTGGACACCCTCCTTTCTGTCGTAGGGAGGGTTTGAGGCCTTCAACAAAGAGGTCGAAAACATTGAGGGTGTTTCTGCTTCGCACAGTGGGACTCTTCAGCCTGGAAGAGAGCCAGGAGAGGAGGGATTGAACAGTGGACAATAAAGCCAGGAGCAGCAGAAGGTCCTTGGTAGGACAACTCACAGCTTAAGCTGAAATAAGCTGAGGGCAGGGCTGCGCTTTTTGTTACACAGGGATTGGTTGGAGGGTGCTAAAAACTTCAGTGGGGAAAAAATAATTTTTATTAATCCAGGGAAGATAAATCCTTGTGAGCTGCTAAACACAGAGACAGTCGTTCTAGCCCAGAAATCTGGGAGCTATGAATATCCAGAGGCTGGGAAGTATCCCTGGGGTAATAGCACTCCAGATCTGCTCCCAGATCTGGTACGTGCATGGGCATTGATCTGTGAGGAGGCTCCTGGAACAGCCTGGTGATGGCCGGCTTTGAGAAAGGATAATTCAGTACAAAAAATGTAAAAAACCAAACCTGCCTTCATTTCTGTAGGGATGAATGCAACAATAAAAACCTGATTTAAGCTCTGCCCTCAAATTACATGGACGGGCTTGCTTCGCATCTGGTGTGTGTGGACCCATCCCCTCCCTGGCAGGGTTGTCCTTAACTGCATAACTCCCTAGGCATTTCATCCTGCTGGAGCAAAGATGGATCAAAGGCCCAGTCCTAGAAGATAGGAAAGCTAAGGATCAGTCACCACTTCCCATGTGCTACTGCCCTCTTCCCTTTCCCCTGCACCTTTATGCCCAGTTCTCACTTTTACAGAGGCAGTTTTCAGCTTTTCAAGCCAGGCATTTGCATGTATTTTGCAGCACATACCCGCTGCTGGGAGAAATTCATTATTCCAAGAATACTCCCCTATTTTCCCCAACCATGTGGTGTTTTCCCCTTCAGATATATATGCACCAGACCTGCAGCAAATAAAAAGATCCTGTTCCTGCCCTAACTTTTCTGTTCACGAGGCAAATCTCTTCATCCAAGTCAAATGCAAAGCATTCCAAGGCATTGCAAGCAGTGGGTTTGGCTGTCTTCTGCTTGCTTTCAAATTGAGACAAAGTCCCTGGCGAGGACAGCCCTGCACAGTGTGGTTTCCAGGCGATGAGGGCTATCATTGGATGATGAAGTCAGTTGTACACCCGAAGAGCAGGATCACCTTTCAAAGAAAAGGTAAAAAACGTCAGGACTGGCAAGTTGGAGATGCACCAACAAACAAGACAAGGTCTTGCAAAACAGGGCAAAAACAGAGCCCAAAGCAAATGGGGAGGGTAAAAGGAGCCTTTGTGAAAACCTCGCATCCAATTCCAGGCAAATGGGAAGAAACTCTGAATGCTCAAAACTGTGGTCAGAGAGAGCCTTCTGTGTGCAGGTGTGCGCTCAGCATTGGCAGATACGTTGTTTTGATGATATTTCTCCAGCCGGCTGCAAACAGACAGCTGAGGTAAGAGCTGGTCAGCTTCAGAGAGGGCTTTGTCTTCTGCTGGTGATCTGTAGGACAGAGGCAAGCAGGAAGGCTGGGGGCAGGCTGCCCTGGCTTCCTCCAAGCTCCCTGGCCTTTCCATTGCGCCTGCCCCATGGACCGTGTGCTCCCTGTGGGATGGCAGGGGTCCAGTGGGAAGGAAGAGGCGTAGAGAAGGGGTTCTGTGGGATGCTCCTGCCCCATCTCTGCAGTTCTGAGATGTCATGCAGGCAGGTATATACCTGTCTGCATCTTCCCCTCATTAGGTTTAACATGACAACAGCCAGAGCTAAGACATTCCTCTGAGTACGCTAAATCAAAGGATGGGTACAACAGTGCTGCATGGATGGACCTTAGGATGCCACAAGCACCTCTGCTCTGCACTTGCCTGAACCCTCCCATAATTCTGTGCCTCCTTGTCCTGTCCACCAGGAGCAGCAGGGTGGGTTAGCCTCTTTAACTTCACAGTAGGCCTTGATGGGCTAGAAGAGCGTTAACATCCCCCCCCTTGGTCTCCTCCAGACACTTGCTCTCCCTTCTGGGCCAGCCTGAAGGCCACATGTCTCCTGGCAAAGCTTGGGCTGCTGGAGGTGTCCTGTTTGTCCCCTGCCAACTGTAAAACCAAAGGAGACTTGTCCCAGCTGCCGCTCGTCCTGGCTTCAGCATAGGAGGGAAAAAAGTCCCTTGTGAACACGAACAAATGATTCAGGACTTAACAATAAATGTCATCAAACTTGCTGTGGAGTAATTGCTTCCACGGAGACTCTGTGACTATGTGTCTGGCTAGCAGCTATCACTGCAAAACCCAAGGACGCTTGTGCTCGTCCTCTTATGTATCAGCAGCCTCAAGCACTACATTCCCTCTGCCCACAGACGCTGCCTGCACATCATCCTGCAACAGCCCTAGCAGCAGCAGCTTTGCTGCAGCCCTCCAGGCTGCGCTGCAGGGAAAGGGCATTTTTGTGTCTTCTGGGGGTGAGGTGAGGGGTTGCATTTTGCCCGGATGCTCTGGTCAGCCTCCTGCATCTTGGGGATCTCTGCTGCAACTGGAGTGGAATCTGCCAGACCAGGGAAAAGGATTGCCTGGAAAAAACAACTCAGACCAGTTTCTGCCTGCTTTTAAACATCAAAACCAGCTATTTTATACCTTATAAACTAAATTTGCTTTTAGCAAAAATCAATAAGTTCCCATTTTGTTTATTCTTTCCCCAACAAACCTCAGTTTTCATTTCAAGTTTTCAGTGACATCAGCTCGAGAGGACCAGCCACTGGCCGCTTCCCATAAACCACAGCACCAAAGTTACCTTATTTTGGTCCGGCTGGACCAGCCTGTCACGTGTATTATAGGCAGTGCTTGTGTATGTGCCTGCCCATAAATTGGTTGCAGATCCCACCCGGAAGAGATATTCAGGAAAACCCCAAAGGTGAAATGCAACGGTGTCTGCTATTCGGCTGATTCAGCCCCTGGCATGGGGTGAGCGTGGGCAGACAGGGCTCTCCTTCCCCTTGGAGGAAACCCCTGCTCAAACAGCTCCACCAACCGCCTCATGTTTTTATGTGGTGCAAATCTTCCCTCCAGAGCCAAGCATGTGGCGGCCATTAGAAATTTTATGGAGAAGCTGTTTTGTGGGAATTCATCCCTTCTGCTGTGATCCAGTCAGGTGCAACGAGGAGCTTAATCAGCTTTATCCAGCTTAGCCGGTTGACTGTGTGGATTGCAAAGGCCTCTCTGGCAGAGGAGCCCACGGCTTGGTGGCACCTTTCGCTTACAGGACAACACAGAGAGGGTTTTTGTGGCATTAATCTTCGTGGGGTGGCAGAGCGGTTGGGTTTTCCTCAAGAAATGGAAGGGAGAGGGCTTGGGAAATCTTCTTTGCTCTTGGGGCAGGTTTTGAGGAAGAACAGCTTTCACCCCCAAACTGTGAGGAGTTTTCTCCCCCGCCATCCAAGATTTCATTGCAGTGAAAGCACAGCGTATAATAAAACTGTGTCCTTAAAAAAATCAGTCTCACAGACAGGCAGCCTTTGTCCAAAGGTGTAATTACAGGATAAATATGGGATGCGGACCAAGAAATGCGGTCTGGTCAGGCATGCAGTCTCTTAAAAAAACAAAACCAAACAAACAAACACAGCAACAACAAAAACCAAAGAAAAAAAACAACAACAGAAAAAAAAACCACAGAAAACAAGGCTGTCATTTAATGCTGAAATGGCCACGTGTGCTGCTGCCCCCAGCCCCTCGCTGGCCCATGGGTCCCCCGCTAGCCCGGGGTTCAGGGGATGGAGCTGTAGTCATGCAACAGCTTCCCATTAGAATTGCCCCGAGCCCCTCGATGGACTGAAGGGCAAGAGCAGATCTGGCCTCCAGCAGAAGCCAGTGGGGCCAAGTGAGGGCACTTGGGCCATGGGTTTCCTTCCAGCCCCATTGCAGAAATCCCATCCAATAGCACTGCAAAGGGATGTGGGGGATTACCTCGTCCGATCCCATTAAATGGAGCTGGAGCAAGTGAGAGGAAGGGGACGGGGGGTCAGGACAGACAGCAGAGCAGCCACGATGCCTGAGGTTTGGGACAGACCTCATGCCAAGCTGGAAAAAGGCCTTTTTATGCATTTCTGTAGGCCAGCCTGGAGACTTGGCTTCGTGGCCCAGCAGACATTCACCTTGCCAGCTGCGGGTAGCAGTTTGCCACCTTGGCCATGCATTAAACAACATGGTGTCTAAGGCATCATTTCAGAGACCTGCCTGCCTCTTACTTAGCGGGCACTGGCATCTTCTGACTCAAGCAAGAATTGTTCCTCCATGGCAAGGCCAGCCCTGCCAGCACGGCCCCAGAGAGCCATGCGTCTTCAAGAGGGAGGCAGAGGCACAGCGGGGTGTACCTTGCCATCCAAAGTCAAGTCTGGGTTAGACCGGCAGGCGGAAGCATTAACCGGAGATCCCGTTTAGAGGGAAACAGTGCACACATAATTTATTAAAGCTCTCACTGGTGTCACATCATCTTGTGTCACCTGCAATAAACCCACAGAGTAAAAGCTGGCTTCGGCTGGTGGCCCTGTCCTGCAGGACATGTGTCCCCTGAATGCTCCAGGGCTACTCGCAGAAAATGTCTCTCTGGTGACAATCACCACAATGTGACCAAATGTCCCCCAAAATACAGCTGACAAGATGAGCAGGTGAGGCTGGAGGCAGCACATCCGCAGACACTGATCTGCACTGGGTGGGTTAGGGGAGGAGTGGGAATAGCCTTGGCCTGGGGAAGTAAGGAGTGGGAGCCTAGGAGTGGTGGGAGTGTGGGGGGGTGCTCTTTTATTTGTCTGCTTGTTTTAAGGCAAGCCTGACCCTTTCAGAAGCTGTGTTATTTCTGAAAGCTTGAATCCCATGAAAAGTGGGTGAGTTTTTTTGGCATACGTGTGGATGGAGGGAGGGTGACGCTGCATCCATTGTGGCCCCTGCCATGGGACTCCTGCGTTGCCTGCCTGAAGGTAGGTACGGGCTTGCTCTAAGGCATTTCTTTTTGCTGTGATTTTCCCAGTGGATGCTTTTTCTCCCAGATCCATGCCTTTCTTCCTCTAGGGAAGAACAAGAGCGAGGCCTGGCAGCTGTCAGGGCAGGGTGAGCAGTAGATGCCCCTCCTGGATGGACAAACCTCCCTCTGGTTGGCACAGGGAGAATTCAGCTGCTTTGTTCTCAAAAGGAGCCGCGTGTTCCTTGTGGCTTCCCGATGTATCTGGCATCGTGCGAGAGTCACGACTACGTGGGTTTAATGGGAGCAATTAGTCCCTGCGGAAATCTGCATGGGTCGGGGGCCCATTTTCTTTCTGTCCTGTGACATTTTTGACAGGAAGCTGGAGGGTGTCCAGGAAGAAATATTCTTGCTTAGCTAGAAATGACAGGCAGGAGCCAGCCAAGGCTGAGCCTGTGCAGACAACGCAAGTGAGAAAGGGCAGTTGTCACTGTCCCCTCTGGCCTCAGCTCAGCGTGGCTCCGACAATTAATTTAAACTTTATTTGCTTTGCAAAACACAACCTAGCGGGTACTTTTGCAGAAGCACAGGAGAAGCATTCGCCTGTAACCGTTGCCCTCAGTTTGGCCATGTTCTGCTTGAGCTCGGAGGTTTTTCCCAGCACGCAGCTGCGGGGTATCCAGCCGACCTCGGCGACCCTGCCGCTTTCCCAGCGGGAAGCCTCCAGACAAAACCCGATTCACTGGGTAAACCCAGGGCTGCTTGTGATGCCAAAAGCTGCATGCGAGACAGGGAGGGAGGGTGACGATTCTCCATCGCCTGCAAGCAATAAGGGCATCACCCCCACTGCTCAATGCAAAGAAAACCCCATTTTTTTTGTACCCTCTCTAAACCCGGCCAGTGTCGAGTACCCTAAATTCACACCTTGAGGCCAGATGCTCTGAGCCGTGCTCGGAAAACCTCCCCAGCTGGTGCGGGGAGGGCAGGCGGCCGCTCAGGGCTCCAGCATGGCTGCTCCCCACTGGCCGGCCCCATGCTCCTCAATGCTGCCTCTGTTCTCCCTCTTGGGTCAAAAACGTGGCTTTTGTGAGCTTGCCCCAACCGCAGCTCGTCACCGGAGCCTCAGTGCGTTCCTCCTGGCTGCCCTCCGCCAGCAGAAACGCAGCCCAGCTGTGGCCAGCTGCTGCCATTGCCTGATTTTACTTATTTGTTTTTGCTTTCACCCAGCAGCTCTGGTTGGGGAGAGGTGATGTGGGGCTGCTGCTTATGCCCAGGGTGCAGAGGGGACCCCTCGAGGCTCCCCAGCAAGCCTTAGGTGGAGACAACCACCACCCTATGCTGAAACGTCTGGCTTCTCCCTTGAGTGGCTGGCGTAACCCAAAATACATGGGGAGTAAAAGGATGTGTTGTGAAATGGGCTAAAAATAGGCATTTTAAATTCATTAAATGTGAATGGGAGGGGGCAGCTCAGCACCAGGCTGTTGCTGGGCGAACGTCTGCATCTGGCAAACACTCTGAAACTCCCTGTGCCTCTGCCAGGTATTGGTTACCCACGAGTGCTGCTGGCAAGTATTTCTGGGGTTCCCCCCAGGTGGAGGATACAGATGAATAGCAAGGAGACAGGAGATGCTTTGGACTCTGTGCTGTTGTATTTTTGTTTTCAATCAAGTAAGTCTGGCTGTCTCGCAGCAGTCGCTGAGGGTCACGGTCACTCCTGCATGGGGTGGGTGCAGCCCTGGCTCTGGCTGTGCTCTGCCAAGGGTCTTGGGAGGTTACAGCCCATCGGTCCCTGCGGGCTCTCCTCGGATCATGCTGCAGGGCACTTGGTGGTCTCTGGCTGAAACCCAAGCTCCGCCACCTCAGCTCTGGGTGTCTCTCTGGTTCTTTGTGGTACGTTGCGCTGCTGTGATTTTTTGGGCTTAGCTCCTTGACCTGCCTCCCCCACTTTTTCACATAATAAATAAATAAATTTGCCTTGCAACCCTGGTATGTAAATACACAGAGAAAAAGAAAAACAAAAAAAGGGGGGAAAAACAAACCCCAAACCAACTTTGAAGAGCATCAGTCCAAGAAATCATCTCATTTCATTGCAGCCCAAGTGCTGGCTGGGGCAATGTGGGCAGCTCCTGCCCCAGCTGGGGCAGTTCCCAGTCTGTGCTGGTGTTTGAAGGCACTAAACCAGTAAGGCCTCTGGGGTCTGGGTCCTTGCTGGCACCACAGGAGTCTTGTCCTAGCTAAGGTGGGGCAATGCAGAGGTGCTCAGCCATCATCCTCCGCTTGCCCTCACCCTCCTCTTCCTCAGTGCAGCCCCCAAGCTGGAGAGGTGGCCCTGGTGCCGACCCCCTGCCTTTTCCTGCCACCTTTCACCCTTGTGATTTCCCCATTCCTGGAGAAATGGTGTAATTCAGGCTCTGCAGGACCCTGGGGTCTGCTTCACCTGGACGCTCCAGCTCCTGGGGCTGCTGCTTTCCTCCCAGCAGCACTGAGGAGCATCTGTGGGAGCAGAACCCCCCGGGTCTCCTCTGGGCCAGCTGGGAGCACGGCTGCAGCCCCCCATTCCCCGCCCCCCCCCCCCGCCGTTACGTGACCCAGGAGGGCTGTGCCTCCTCCAGCAAGCTGAAGGAGCGGTTAGCCAGCGCAGCGGGGCTGCTGGCCAGTTTGTAGCCAAAAAGCTGCATGGCTGGGGCGCAAGCGTCCTGCACCACCTCCTCACGGAGAGGAGCCTCCCCTTCGGATGCCCACTTCTTCCAGGTCTCGTACTTGCCCGAGAAGGCCACCATGCGGGAGGCCAGGACGGCCCGGGGGTCCCGCACCAGCTGGATGATGCGCACGTCCAGCCGAGGGTCCTCCACCAGCGGCTGCAGGAACTCCAGCTGCCGGATGCGCACCGTCTTCAGGGCCACGTGCTGCTTGCGCTGGCACGCCTCGGCGGCCAGGGTGATGTTCAGGGGGCCGCAGCGGCGGGGTTTGTGGGGGGAGTTTTCC